AGCACCGAGCTGATCTCCCTGTGCTATGCAGCTGCTTCCCACTAGCTGTCTATTTTACATTTGGTAGTATATATATGTCCATGCCACTCTCTCACTTTGTCCCAGCTTACCCTTCCCCTTCCCTGTGTCCTCAGGTCCATTCTCTAGTAGGTCTGCGTCTTTATTCCTGTCCTGCCCCTAGGTTCTTCATGACCATTTTTTTTTTTTTTTAGATTCCATATATATGTGTTAGCATACGGTATTTGTTTTTCTCTTTCTGACTTACTTCACTCTGTATGACAGCCTCTAGGTCCATCCACCTCACTACAAATAACTCAATTTCGTTTCCTTTTATGGCTGAGTAATATTCCATTGTATATATGTGCCACATCTTCTTTATCCATTCATCTGTTGATGGACACTTAAGTTGCTTCCATGTCCTGGCTGTTGTAAATAGATCTGCAGTTAACATTGTGGTACATGACTCTTTTTGAATTATGGTTTTCTCAGGGTATATGCCCAGTAGTGGGATTGCTGGATCATATGGTAATTTTATTTTTAGTTTTTTAAGGAACCTCCTTACTGTTCTCCATAGCGTCTGTATCAATTTACATTCCCACCAACAGTGCAAGAGGGTTCCCTTTTCTCCACACCCTGTCCAGCATTTATTGTTTGTAGATTTTTTGAGGATGGCCATTCTGACTGGTGTGAGATGATATCTCATTGCAGTTTTGATTTGCATTTCTCTAATGATTAATGATGTTGAGCATTCTTTCATGTGTTTATTAGCAATCTGTATATCTTCTTTGGAGAAATGTCTATTTAGGCCTTCTGCCCATTTTTGGATTGGGTTGTTAGTTTTTTTGATATTGAGCTGCATGAGCTGCTTGTAAATTTTGGAGATTAATCCTTTGTCAGTTGCTTCATTTGCAAATATTTTCTCCCATTCTGAGGGTTGTCTTTCCATCTTGTTTATGGTTTCCTTTGCTGTGCAAAAGCTTTTAAGGATACTCTTTAAATTAAAGTTTATTCCATTTTATAGATGAGGGAACTGAGGCTCAGAGAAGTAGAATCTCTTCTGCAGGTTCACGCTGCTGTGGTAAAGCCAAGATTTGAGCATGGGTCTGTTGGACTCTAAAGGCTGTGCTCCTTTCACCATCCATTCGTTAATTCCACAAATATTTTTTTAGTCCCTGCAAGTCGGCTGTTGACTGGAACCCAGATTGTCAAGGATTTGTTCACCTGTCTACAAAAGTTTCATCATCTTTTGTCCTGTAGCGTAGACACGCACATAGACGCGAATGAGTTAGATTTATTAGTTTAAGAACAGTAATAGCAGACATTGCTAACTGATTGCAGCACGCTTGCCTGCCTGACCCCAGGTGGGGTCTGTGATCTTTCTCGACCCAGTACTCCAAGCAGCTGCAACCAGTGAGTCAGTGTTATCACTGGAGGGCAGCCTACTGGTGGGCATCCCTTCAGAGGGGGTAAAAGCTAGGAGAGGGAAATGCGATAGAAATATGTGCCTTTTTGTCTGAACCACGAGTAGTTCAGAAGTCATGTTGGGAAAATGACTATAATTCCCTGAGTTTCTGTATCCTTCCATATCAAACTAAAATATACATGTTTAGAGTATTTTAGAACTACCTCTTTTAGTAGATACCTTTGCAAATGAAACCTCTCTTGGTTCACATTTTTTCTGCATGTGAAAGGACACAGAACATGTATAAAATAGTATAAAATAAGGGTTTTTTTGTGTGGGGGGGGGTTATAAACATGAAGTAAAAGTAAGGAGATGAGTTTTTCTAGCAGGTCTGAGTCAGTGCATTAATATACTTACTCAACAAGCTTTTACTGAGCACTTAGCACACACTAGGCCCTGAGCCTTGGACTGGGAATATGTAAATACTGAGACATAGTTCCTGCCCAGCTTGGAAGCAGCAGGGGGTACTCCCTTGCTTGCCTGGGATGGGTCAGAGTGTGAGAGGAGGGTGGTGGTGGTGGGATGATCCAGCTGAGTTATCAGTCAGTCAGTGGGAAGCTTCAGAAAAGGAAGGTTAGGAGACTGGAAATCAGGCCGCTCCTTCCAAGTGGTCATTCTCCTTTTATTGGGAACTTTAGAAATCTGTGTTTCATTTTATATGGACGATGGCAGTTTTCTTGCAGAGGAAAATTTCATTTCTTCATCCAGCTCTTTTATTTACCTTGGCTATCCCCTTTATACACCAGACCTAGTTCCAAATTCTTTTTGGCTATTAGAAAAAAATCAAATTCCCTGTGCCACAATTACTGAATACGTTGAGCTAGGGGATCTGGAAGGTAACGGAGACAAAGTAACATCACTGGATGGAGTGGTCACTGGAAGCATGATGAGCGAGGTCTTCACTCCCTTGCTCTTGGTTTTCAGGGACTGTATCTCTGTATGAGGGATGTGACCTTTACCAGCAGGTCTCTGCATTCGTAAGGAAGGGACTGTACCCGGTTACGTCCAAGGTCCCTTCCAGCTCCAGTAGTCTATGGTCAGAGGTACATTTTAAGAATTTACGTTTTAAGCAGTGGACACACTGTTAAATTCTGTAGCCCGAGGGCATGATCTGTCTGCATATGGAATGCCGGTTTGTCTTTTTGACCTTATGATAACGTGTCATGTCCCTGTAGAATTCAGGTCATTCAGAAATGAAATGGATGAGGTTTTTAGGCACTCCCTTAAAAAACAAAACAAAACCTGGGAAAGTAAAATAGGTGTGCAACACACCCCATTTATTTAAACCAGAAAGTCTAGGGAGGAGCTCAAGGCTGGGAATTGGCTCTGTGAATCCAAGCAATGTGGATTGGCTCTGGTCAAACCTAAAATTCTTTTGAAAATGTCAGAGGCCTTGTTTTCATGAATTCCACATTGTCATGCCAGTGAAATTATCTGTCTTCCACACTGCTTTCTTTTATGCTTTAGGATTGCAAGCCAGGTGTGGTTATAACGTTGCTTGAGGTGAGATGAGGCACTTGGGGAAATCAGCGTACCAGTGTGCCACCTGGCACGTTAGAGAGCAAGGCTGTGTCAGAAGAGACCCTGGAGGATGTCAGGACAGCAGTGCATCAGGGAATAATATTCAGTATTCTGAAATAAGCCATAATGGAAAAGAATATGAAAATGTATGACTGAATCACTTTGCTGTACAGCAGAAGTTAACACAACATTGTAAAACAACTATACTTCAATAAAATAAATTTAAAAGAAAAAAAAAAGAGGGACTTCCCTGGCAGTGCGATGGTTAAGACTCTGCGCTTCCACTGCAGGGGGCATGGGTTTAATCCCTGTTCAGAGAAGTGAGATCCTGCATCCCGCATGCCTCGTGGTGCAGTCACACACACACACACAAAAGACAGCAGTGCATCAGCTAAGTGATGATATCAGCTCGTCGTTATTTGGGGGTTTTGTGCGTTCTTCATTTATTGAATACGTTTATATAATAGCACCCCTTACCTGGGTGTTACAGGCACCCAGGCACAGAACAAGATGCGTGGCTCATGTTACCTCATTTAATCCTCTTTGAGGTACAGTACCGCAGGGTCTCAGATTACAGCATGGAGGTTCAGAGAAGTCAAGCTTGTTGCCCAGGGTCACATGGTTAGCAGAGCTGGGATTTGAGCTGAGATCTTTCACGCTACCTTTCTTGGTGCACACACCAGCAGAGATTCATTGCTCATGCCAAAACATGAGTGAGGTTGGTGTGAGCATAGATGCGAATGAGTTAAATTTATTTACTCATTTCAAATCGGCACTGGTATATTTTGAGTGTAAAATGTCAACTGGAATTTTTAATGTATAAAATCTTTCAGCTGTCTTTACACCAGTCTTTGCACAGATCAGCCCTCCTCCCTTGAGGATTTATTGTGGTTTTGATTTGTGTTGCCTCAAACCATTGAAATCTTTTCAAAGAAGCAGAGCTGTTTTCTTTTTCTTTTTTCTTTCTCTTTGCTTTTTCCCTCCCGCAGTACACTAGTACCAGGAGTGGACATAGTTTGCTATTCAGCTTGATCAAAGCACTCTACACCAATGTAACTTCCTGATCTTACTGGTAACAGAACTAAATGTTTCCATGTTCTGCCAAGATGGGTTGCCAGTTATCGATGGAGGGCTTGCATCTGGTAATAATTATTTACTAATTCTGTTTACCTTTTGATCTGGTTTTCAGTGTACAGCTGCAGCTATCAAGGCTATAAGAGAAAGTGGAATGAATCTGAACCCAGAAGTGGAAGAGACGCTAATTCGGGTACCCATTCCCAAGTACGTCTGGCTGAAATTCACATATTTTGACGTAATGGGGCAGTTGTCTTTGGAAGGAAACCAACACTCCATGATCCTGTTAGACCGATAGGGTACTTTACCTGTACGTCTCATCTTGGCAGACTCCAGCATCTTTTGAGATACGGTTTACTTATTCAGATGCAGCAGTGAATCTGACAAAGTTCTTGTCCTCATGTATTTTACATTCTGATTGGGAAGATAGGACACATAAATAGAGAAAGTCATTCCAAATAATGAAATGCTGTGAGGAAAGAAAAGGCAATGTGATCCAGTAGAGGGTGCCCTGATGAGAGTGATGGTGGCAGGGACAGCTTTAGCTGGGGAGGACTCTAAGGGAAGTCACATTTTTACTGACAGTTGAATAATGAGGAAGAGCCAGCCTAGGGGAAGAACTTTCCAGGCAGAGTGAACAGATAGCCCAAAGGCCAGGAGTCCGAAAGATTCCTGACACTTGTAATCTCTAACCCAAGTTCCTTGAAGAGTCATTTTCCCATTAATCCTCACTTGTTGAAGAATTTTAGGCGTAAGAACAGAATATTGTTAATTACGTAAATATATAGAACTTAGAGTTTCAAATGCATAAAATGTATGTTTATTTTTAAATTTAAAAAGAAATGATAAGATCTTAGTATATTTGATGAAGAGAAAGCCCTTGTGTCTGAAACTCAGTGAGGGAGGGAAAGAGTGGGGCTGGGGGTGATGGGCTGGTGAGAGGAGGTGCTTCAGGCGTTACAGGCTGTGGTGAGGGGTGTGGGCTGTGCTCTCATTGTAGTGGGAAGCCATTGGAAGCACTTAAGCAGAGGAGTGATATGATCTGATGTTGACTTTTCGGAGGTCTCTCTGGCTGCCAATTAACAAGTGGAATGTAGGGAGACAGGGCAGACGCAGGGCGCATAGTCGGGAGGCCACTGCAGTAGTCCAGGTGAGATATAAATCTTCTCAGATTCCATAGCAGGCAGAATCAGTTTCTCCTTCTGTAATTTTATTTCTTAGTTGTTTCCAAACCCCTGTTCCTACACAGTGCCTCACATCTAGCAAGTCCCAAATAAGTGTTGAATTCATTCATTCAGTCACTCAACAAATATTTATTAAGCACTAACTACATGCCAGGCCCTTTCCTAGTTGTTGAGATAGTGCAGTAAACAAACAACAAGAAGTCCCCATCCTCCCAGGGCTTTCTTTATTGTCGAGTAGGCACAGTAAAAAGAAAAACAAATAAATATGTAATGTAATGTCAGGTGATGATAAGGACTATGAAGAAAAATCAGCAGGCTAAGGGGATAGAGAGAGTTGGGGGTTTTATTGTAGGCAGGAAGGTTCAGGAAGGAAGTGACGTTGGAGCAGAGACCTAAGTGAAATGAATGAATGAAGCTTCCAAATAACTAGAAGAGAAGTGGAGTGTGACACTTGTTGAGTCATTGTGTGCCACACATCATCCTGTATTCCTTTATATAGATTGCCTCATTTGTCACGCAATCTCTGTAAAGTAGGTTTTTCCCCAGGTGTGGAAATTTAGGCTCAGAGAGGTAAAGTAATATCTCTGAGGTCACACAGCTTATGCTGAAGCTGAGACCTAAACCCAGGTATAGTTGATTCTAACGCCTCATGATGTACCCATGCTAGCAACAAGAATTAATACCAACACTGAGAGTCCAGGAACTTTCCCACTGAACTTGTTTCTTGCTTTATGGCCAGAAAATGGCCTCCTTATTCCATTGTGTACTCGGTACTCTGTAAGTCAGAATCAACACTCTGCTTTGAAATCATGTTAATTGGGAGCAATATAACCTAGTGTTTAAGAAGCAAATAAACCTGAGTTCAAGTCCAGTACCTGTTTGCTTGGTTAGTTCATTGATTTGCTTGGCAAATTTTCTACAGATGTGTAATGTTCCAGCCTCTGTGCTGGGCGCTGGGGACGTACGTGGACCTGATGTTTGCCTTTGTGGAATTCAAGGCTGTGCCGGGCCCCTTGTTTATATTACCGGCAGCTTACTTGTGGAGTTTACTCTTACCCATAGTTTATAGATGAAAATATTGAAATTCAGAGAAGTTAAGAGACTTGCTGAAGATCACGTGGCCAGTTAGTAGCAGTCAGGATTTGAATCCTGAGTTTTTCTGTTACCAAGTCCAGGCTCTTTCTCGTGCACTCTCTATATAGATGGGTAATTCTGGAAAGTGCCAAGTGTACTCATGGACATCAGAAGCAAGACTTGCAAGTGGAATGGCTAGTAGTCAGCAGCTTTATCTTTTCCTTCTTGCTCTCCTGTCTGTGAAATCTTGGAAAAGCCACTTAACCTCCCTGAGCCTTGGGTTCCTGATGCACAGGATGGAGGGGTTGTTCTCAGTGGTCTGCCAGGTCCCTTCTGGAGCTCCAGAATGCCGTGATGCTGTGAATTTATGCCACTAAATGCTCGTTGCTGACTTGGATTCTTCTTAGAGTGGCCCATTGTAGATCATATGTTTCTTTCAAAGAGCTCGTTGATATAATGTGCACCTCTGCAGCCCCACACGAGTTAATGATTGCCCTCGTGCATTGTATATAAGTTTGAAAGATCAGTGCGTTTAACTTGAATTTCCAAAGACACGGGGATCTGTTACATTATATTTTGCATTATTTTATGTTGGTTAATGGTGTAATCCAAGAGAAAGTTGACGGACCAAAACCGTCTGCTCCTGCAAACCTCATTTTTTATATACTTTCTTTCCTTTGACGAGGTGGTAAGGTCACGAGGCCCCTCACTGAATTATACGTTTGGTAGTTTTCCAGATAAAAAATGAATGATCTGTTCTTTATTATGGAGGCTGTGTCATGTGAGAGGATAAAGGCTGATTTAGATGTAAAGGGGACCAAGGTTTTTACTTGGTTTTGGCAGTAACTTCCATCTGACTCTGGGCACGTCACCCTAACAGCTTGCTGCCTTCTAGCTCCTTATTTGTAAAATAAATGAAATAACACATAATGATAGCTAGAGCTTTGGTGAGATTAGCAGAGAAAATAGATTAAGTAGCGTGATCTCCTTAGAGGAAAGAAGCTATATAAATGTAAGATACTAATATTATTTCAGTAGACATAAATTTTTCCATATATACATAATTTTACTTTAGGAGAAAAGGAAGGAGTGATATGTTGAGTACCTACTACGTGCCAGGAACTGTTAGGTGCTTGACATATACAGGAAAAGTGGAAAAGTCTAACGGTTAAATTTGTGCCTTGTATCACAAAAGCATGAAACTGAGTTCTGACTCTTCTGCTTTTTAGCTGTGTGACAATGGCAACTGTCTCTACCTCTCTGAATCTCAGAGCTCTTCTGTAAAATATTTATGGGACTGGCCTTATATAGTTATTGGGAGATTTCAGTGAGATAATGTGCACAAAGCTTTTGACGTTTAGCAGGCACCCAGTTAATGCTAGCGAATGTTCCTTCGTTCCTTTTCATAAATAGATAGGCGCATCCCTCCCTTCAAAGGATGGGGAAACTGAGATTCCAAGAGGTGAAGCATTGGCTCCAGGTCACACAGCTGGTAATTGGCAAAGCTGCAAGGAGGAAAATAACACACTAAAGCTTATGGTGGGAATTTGGGAGGTGGGAGGGAGTCAGAAGCATAAATTCCCATGATCAGTTTCTGATGCTAAAATTTCAAGTTTAGTTCTATAAAAATTTACCTTTCCTGGGCTTCCCTGGTGGCGCAGTGGTTGAGAATCTGCCTGCTAATGCAGGGGACACGGGTTCGAGCCCTGGTCTGGGAGGATCCCACATGCGGCGGAGCAACTGGGCCCGTGAGCCACAACTACTGAGCCTGCGCGTCTGGAGCCTGAGCTCCGCAACAAGAGAGGCCGCGATAGTGAGAGGCCCATGCACCGTGATGAAGAGTGGCCCCCGCTCCCCGCAACTAGAGAAAGCCCTCGCACAGAAACGAAGACCCAACACAGCAAAAATAAATTAATTAATTAATAAACTCCTACCCCCAACATCTTAAAAAAAAAAAAATTTACCTTTCCTGGTTGATTGTGATTCTTCCTCTGCCTGAGTATAGTCTGCAAGTTTGCTTTTTTGCCTTCACTCTGGATGCTGCCCAGAGCTAAGTTGTATTTTCAGTTGCAACAGATCTCACCTGGTACCTCACCCTCATCACACTCCTCTGATTCTTATATTCTTATTTAAATGAGTCTACTGAGTACGTGACTCTTCCTATAATCTGCCTCTGAGGCGGAGAATAAATCCTAAAGCCATAACAGGTCAAACTTGGAGCCTGGGTGGTGCATATCACCAAGCCTTCTTTTCAGAGCCTCTGCGAATCCAGCTGTGTGTGTGGCTGTGTGCAAGTTTTTCTCCTGGCTGTCCTCAGTAAAATGACATTGGACCTTACAGGCTCTGGGTTACATTCGTCCGCAGTGACACTGTGTATAGCTTTTGTTTTCTTCTCTGGCCAGTGTTCTTCCGTTTAGAGCAGTCCGTCAACTGGACGGATTCTTTGAACATTCCTGGTAATCAAGATTCACTGAAATAGTTTCTTCTGTTTTTCTTTCTTATTTATGTAATCAAGTTCTGGGTCCTATTTATAAACCACCTGCACTACAGGTGTAATGCCTGGAGGTACTGTGCTGAACGCTTGAGGGTTTCTCCCTGAATTCTCACACCACCGCTCTGAAGTTGGGAGACTGCTCTTGTGCCCACTTGCCTAACGGAAGACCTGAAGCTCCCAGGAGTCAGTGCCCGCTGTCATAGGGCTACGAAGGGGCAGAAGCACGACGGAACTCAGGTCTTATTTACTGCCTTTTTCCCTGTTCTTTTCTCCGGATAGCAGCTTTTTCTGGTATATCAGTCTTCCACTTCTTAATCAGGGACCCTGAAACGTCTTGAGCAGTTTATTTTGATCAGAGGCCCCACCCCATTCACATCTTCATTATGCCCCCAAACAAACAAATACTCCCTTACTTAACTGTTTTACCAAATATTGATGAGAAAACCACACGAAGT